GGGAGACACTGCATTAGAGCACTGACAACAGGTGCTCTAATGCACCTGTAAACTCCAGCAGCTGGACTTTACAGGCACATTTACGGGATTACATTTAGTTGAGTAATTGTACTCAAATGTAAATGTAAATGTCCTCAACATCCATCAGAATTGGCCCCCAAAAAACAAAACAAAAAAAACAGCTCAGCAGGAGTCATAATGAGCGGGAGGTAGAGCCCGGGTCCGCCGCCGCCTTCCGGCCGTGTTTAGCATGAGGCGAGGGCAGGCGTGGACGAGCACGTGTACCTGCAGGTTCAGGGACGAGCAACGAGCAGGACACGAGTCTTGGTCATGGTTTGTACCCGGCAATTAGCCCGCCGCCACGACTGGTGACGACACGAGTCATTTAGGTAGAACTGTGGTCTGGTTCCCAGCGGCACGACATCTTCACGTCACCCTCCTTCGCCACCCATCATGCCGGGCCTCACTGTTACTTGTATCATGCCGGCCCTCACTGTTACTTGTATCATGCCGGCCCTCACTGTTACTTGTATCATGCCGGCCCTCACTGTTACTTGTATCATGCCGGCCCTCACTGTCACTTGTATCATGCCGGCCCTCACTGTCACTTGTATCATGCCGGCCCTCACTGTTACTTCTATCATGCCGGCCCTCACTGTTACTTGTATCATGCCAGCCCTCACTGTCCCTTGTATCATGCCAGCCCTCACTGTCCCTTGTATCATGCCAGCCCTCACTGTCCCTTGTATCATGCCAGCCCTCACTGTCACTTGTATCATGCCAGCCCTCACGGTCACATATCATGCCGGCCCCCACTGCCCCTTGTATCATGCCGGCCCTCACTGTCCCTTGTATCATGCCGGCCCTCACGGTCACACATCATGCCAGCCCTCTAAGGAAGTCACTTTACTGCACTTTGGCTTACTTTAATTGTTTAATATTTGGCTTGGGTTTATACAGTTGACGCGGCCCCCTCGGCTGTTTTTGTCTGACAATGCCAACACTGAGGGCGATGTTTAGTACTTTGTCGCCCTAATTTAAGCGTCGAGTCGTGCAGACCATCCGTGTCCCTGTGTACGTGTAGGGGGGGGGGGCAACAACAGCTGTATTTTACTGTATTCTGTGCACGCCGTTCTTACGACATCCCCCAGACACTCTAATTCGTCGAAGTGGAGACGCGTCTTGTGTTTGTCGTCTTAAGAGGCCGGTAATTAACCAGGTGTTTAATTATCCCAGGTATTTCCTCCCTCCCCCCCATTTGGCTCACTGGGGCCCACAACTCTACCTGGATCTGTCTAGACCGTTCGAAATTCAATGCACGAATTGATTTACGAAGAGTATGATTTGTTGAGAGGAGTGGTGGTGATGTTCCGTCATCAGCGATGATTTACGCCTCGAGTTGTATTCTGGGGCTCAGTGATGGATCCACCATCCGTCACGACCCGCCTCGCTCTCAAGTGATGAATGGCTGCCGTCTCCCTCAACCCCGTCTCATATTACGCTACGCATCTGCTATTAGACTAACATATATAAAACATGATGATTGCATTTAAAATGGTTTGGAAGAGTGTTGCAATACGTAAAAATGTTTCTCTCCATCGTGTTAGGTCAGATAATTGTGCTCGTCAAACGTTGAGTGAGCCTCAGGCGGGCTCACTCAATCAAAAAATATGGCCGGGGATGAAGAGTTGTTTTGTTGGAGTTCTCAAGGTTACATGATGCCCTGTATAGGAGAGAGAGAGAGATCATGCCGGCACTTATCCTTCGCTTACATTTTTTTTTATATAACATGATAGGAATTAAGAACAGGCAAGCATGTCCTGGCTATGTTAAGATGCATATTTTAAAAATTTACGGAGGAAATTATGTAGTGATATTAGACTCGCCGGTGCATATTAAGTATATTATGGAGAGTATATTATATATTGAAGATTAAAGCCTGTGGGCAAGGTGTGACAGTGAATGATATATCAGCGGACGGTTGACACGCTGGCAGAGTGAATGATAGATAAACATACCCGCGCGGTATGGCTCGGACGCTTGATGAACTAGTAGAACGTCTCCCCGGTGGCAGATTGACTGATATATAAGTATATCGTGGAAGCCCCTGACAGTGTGAATGATATGTCGGTACATCATCGGGCGCCTGTGACGCCGGCAGGATGGCAGGACATCATTCCCCCACCGACCATCACCCTGGGAACACGACGTCAGGGAGCGGCCATCACAGCCGGACGGGCCTCGCTCCTCCATCCAATCCCTCATATATTACGCCGAGCAGTCAATATAAACACAGGTATTTCCTCCCGCTGTCCCACTGGTGGACCGCAGAGGTTATTTATAAGACCCGAATCACGGCCGGGGCGAGCGCTGGCCCCATCCTGGTTTCACAAATCTCACGTTTTCTTACCTGGCGTTCCTGGTAGTCCCGAGGAGACTGCGACGCGGTCTTCCGACGCCCCGGCGTCACCTCTACTCACTTACCATCCTCTCGCTCCTCCTCAAAATGGAGAATATTTCTCTAATTTTCTTCATTGACCGCCGACAACTTTCCATTGTGAATCTGTCCCGCCGGGTCTGTTTATCCAAAGACTCGTCATTGAGGTTTTGCCCTCGGTGACCCGATTAAACGGAGTGGTGGATCGTGAGATAGGGGCGGCGGTCGGGGACGCAGCGCATACTTAGTATATTAGTGTAAGGGAGAAATTAGGAAGATGAAATCGTCGCCCATTTAAGATAATATCTATTTTCCACCTGTGTATAAGATTGTTGAAAATATTACCAATTTCATCATTATTTCCTTTAATCTGACATGATGAGTTAATGTTTACATCGTGATTGAAGCGGAGGCAGCCGGAGAGATTATTGACTCAGCCTTTCATTTATATCTGCCTTCCTTCCCTGTGTGTGTGTCGGCGAGGGCTGGTGCTCCCACACTCACCTTGAGTGTGTGAGGCTCACATGAGTGCTGGGAATTCCGGCGTAGGCTGTTCTCTGCCTCATGACGCGGCTTTCATTACATCGTATGGCACGCTGTATACACTTGGCCATAATACTGAAATGAGAGCCAATCATGATGGGACATTATTAAAAAAAATGTTCCAAAAAAATATACAAATGTGTGAAGGATGTTGGTATATTAGGCAGCAACACACCACACACACACACACACACACACACACACACACACACACACACACACACATACATGATTCGGGCGTAATCGCTGCCCGAAACGCTGCACGTACTAGTGGCTTTACAAGAATGTAATGCTACGCGATGTATCCTCACACACCCATTGTACCTTCTTGTATATAAATAAATCAATACACAGCAGCTCCCAACCACGTGGCCCACTTACGCTGCTCCACTACACAAGCATCTTGAAGCAACATCGAGCCGTCATAAATCTTGGCCGACATCTTGGCCGTCCATTCATTCAGACGACGTGTTGACCTGTCATCCGGACACTCATTCAGACGACGTGTTGACCTGTCATCCGGACACTCATTCAGACGACGTGTTGACCTGTCATCCGGACACTCATTCAGACGACGTGTTGACCTGTCATCCGGACACTCATTCAGACGGCGTGTTGACCTGTCATCCGGACACTCATTCAGACGGCGTGTTGACCTGTCATCCGGACACTCATTCAGACGACGTGTTGACCTGTCATCCGGACACTCATTCAGACGACGTGTTGACCTGTCATCCGGACACTCATTCAGACGACGTGTTGACCTGTCATCCGGACACTCATTCAGACGACGTGTTGACCTGTCATCCGGACACTCATTCAGACGGCGTGTTGACCTGTCATCCGGACACTCATTCAGACGACGTGTTGACCTGTCATCCGGACACTCATTCAGACGGCGTGTTGACCTGTCATCCGGACACTCATTCAGACGGCGTGTTGACCTGTCATCCGGACACTCATTCAGACGGCGTGTTGACCTGTCATCCGGACACTCATTCAGACGGCGTGTTGACCTGTCATCCGGACACTCATTCAGACGGCGTGTTGACCTGTCATCCGGACACTCATTCAGACGGCGTGTTGACCTGTCATCCGGACACTCATTCAGACGGCGTGTTGACCTGTCATCCGGACACTCATTCAGACGGCGTGTTGACCTGTCATCCGGACACTCATTCAGACGGCGTGTTGACCTGTCATCCGGACACTCATTCAGACGGCGTGTTGACCTGTCATCCGGACACTCATTCAGACGGCGTGTTGACCTGTCATCCGGACACTCATTCAGACGGCGTGTTGACCTGTCATCCGGACACTCATTCAGACGGCGTGTTGACCTGTCATCCGGACACTCATTCAGACGGCGTGTTGACCTGTCATCCGGACACTCATTCAGACGGCGTGTTGACCTGTCATCCGGACACTCATTCAGACGGCGTGTTGACCTGTCATCCGGACACTCATTCAGACGGCGTGTTGACCTGTCATCCGGACACTCATTCAGACGGCGTGTTGACCTGTCATCCGGACACTCATTCAGACGGCGTGTTGACCTGTCATCCGGACACTCATTCAGACGGCGTGTTGACCTGTCATCCGGACACTCATTCAGACGGCGTGTTGACCTGTCATCCGGACACTCATTCAGACGGCGTGTTGACCTGTCATCCGGACACTGGCTGATATCATTTTTCCCTCGCCATAGTGGTCAAGCATAACTTAAGAGGCCAACCTGGACCTTTCTGGGATCAGCTCCACACGTAAACCGTGTGATCGTCTAGCCCACAACTGCATTGATTGACGAGGGTTTCCGTCAGTGTCTTCTCTAGCCCGAGGCACAAGACACCACCACTTGTGCTCAGGAGACAGCACCGGACACACTTCCCACCCCGCACTTCCATGTGATGAAGAACGTTCTTTTTTTTCAATATAAACGTATATATATATAGTCTGGGTTTGTGCATAATTAAGCCTAGTTACGTCAGGTTTGTTTACGTTGATTTATGGAATATTTATATTACGGGCAGTGGCCGCAGGCAGCTGGAGCCAGGTGTGGCCGCAGGCAGCTGGAGCCAGGTGTGGCCGCAGGCAGCTGGAGCCAGGTGCATGTGGCCGCAGGCAGCTGGAGCCAGGTGCATGTGGCCGCAGGCAGCTGGAGCCAGGTGCATGTGGCCGCAGGCAGCTGGAGCCAGGTGCATGTGGCCGCAGGCAGCTTGAGCCGGGTGTGGCCGCAGGCAGCTGGAGCCGGGTGCATGTGGCCGCAGGCAGCTGGAGCCGGGTGCATGTGGCCGCAGGCAGCTGGAGCCGGGTGCATGTGGCCGCAGGCAGCTGGAGCCGGGTGCATGTGGCCGCAGGCAGCTGGAGCCGGGTGCATGTGGCCGCAGGCAGCTGGAGCCGGGTGCATGTGGCCGCAGGCAGCTGGAGCCGGATGCATGTGGCCGCAGGCAGCTGGAGCCGGGTGCATGTGGCCGCAGGCAGCTGGAGCCGGGTGCATGTGGCCGCAGGCAGCTGGAGCCGGGTGCATGTGGCCGCAGGCAGCTGGAGCCGGGTGCATGTGGCCGCAGGCAGCTGGAGCCGGGTGCATGTGGCCGCAGGCAGCTGGAGCCGGGTGCATGTGGCCGCAGGCAGCTGGAGCCGGGTGCATGTGGCCGCAGGCAGCTGGAGCCGGGTGCATGTGGCCGCAGGCAGCTGGAGCCGGGTGCATGTGGCCGCAGGCAGCTGGAGCCGGGTGCATGTGGCCGCAGGCAGCTGGAGCCGGGTGCATGTGGCCGCAGGCAGCTGGAGCCGGGTGCATGTGGCCGCAGGCAGCTGGAGCCGGGTGCATGTGGCCGCAGGCAGCTGGAGCCGGGTGCATGTGGCCGCAGGCAGCTGGAGCCGGGTGCATGTGGCCGCAGGCAGCTGGAGCCGGGTGCATGTGGCCGCAGGCAGCTGGAGCCGGGTGCATGTGGCCGCAGGCAGCGCAGGAGCACATGGAGAGGCCAGCCAACCAAAGTGTTAAGATATCAATCATAAGACCACTCGTGTCTTTAATGAGACGCCGCATTTTCCCGCCCTTCGCACTGATTGTCCGAATGTCCTTCTCTGCTAGTACCGACAGTTGTTGAGACACCGGAGGTGGCGCACCTGCCCCCCGCGCTGTGTCAGGTACTCACAGCAGCTGGCAAAGTAAAAGGGTGAGGGGGGGGGGGAGGGTATTACCTGTCAAGGGACACGGTCTTACCTGTCAAGGGACACGGTCTTACCTGTCAAGGGACACGGTCTTAAGAAGCCCGCCTTGTATCTGTTTCACACAGAAATCACAATTGCATGATGCATCAAATGAACAAATCCACAAGGGCCATAACGAGGATTCGAACCTGCGTCCGAGTATCTGTGTGTCCGATTGAGGGTTTCAGGTCTTAGCGATCGTAATCAACCTAAGAAAAAAAAAGTGATTTTAACAACTATAACTTCGTTATCAATAATTTATTAATTATCAGTTATCGACGGGCTAGGAGTACTTAAGAAGAAAATGAGTTTAATATATTCAATAGAGAAAGTCTTCACGTAAAGCCTGGAGGCATCAGGAGACAAGTTGAAGTGAACAAATCCACAAGGGCCGTGACGGGGATTCGAACCTTAATCGACTGAGCTCATTTGATGCATCACGTTATTGTGATTTGTGTGTGTAACAAGTTTAAGTGCCATATTGACATAAAAAGGGGGATTGACCTGAGATTAAAGGTGTCAATAAAAATGTCATTAGTCAAAGGAAGGGAAGGAAATTTTCAGGAGAAAGCGCTAAGCCATTAAACTAAATAACACTTGGATCAGGATAAGGATTTGGGATGGGACGGGGGGGGGGGGGGGGGGGGAGGGGGGAAGGAATGGTGCCCAACCACTTGAACGGTCGGGGATTGAACGCCGACCTGCATGAAGCGAGACCGTCGCGCTACCGTCTACCCCCCAAGTGGTTGGGATAAAGAAGACATTCTGATTTGTAACTGAAAGTCGAGTGCGTGTCACGAGGTCGAACAGTCTACTCTGAACATCTATACTTTACACTGTCAACTGATATATGTCAATGTTGCTGCCTTTGACTATGACTGCAGCGGTGTGTGGAACACTGGGAGTCTCAGCACGTGCTCGGGAACACACGCGGCACAACGACACATGAACACACACACACACACACACACACACACACACACACACACACACACACACACACACACACACACACACACACACACACACAGTTGAGAGCTGCGACGTGACACATCACGTCATTGTGCAGCTATATTGACATGCCAGTGGAATGTACACTTCTGCCTCGGTAGCTCACGCGTGTGAACTTCCATTAAGAGCTGTCAGTATCTAGTGAGAGTGATAGTCAGGAAGCAGGATGAAGCAGCCCGAGGTGCTGGTCGAGCGCTTCTACTGTCTCCAGACTCTCTGGTCACTGGTGCCAGCGAGGACAGACAGTCTCAGCTGGAGAACGCGAGCTTCTACTGGCCACAATGTGTCAATCACACACAAATCAGTCACTCCCTGCTTGACACATGACACCTCAAGTGTACATCAGCCGTGGTCACAGGCGGCGTGTAGTGAACCCCGCACGCCGGCGGCGAACTGTAGCGGTGGCGGCTACAGCAGGCCGCCGCGCTCACCAACTTACAGCACGTTATGAGATCCTCCTCACACACACACACACACACACACACCGTGTGGATAACCTAACTCCCAGGCTCCAGGTGCTAGGGTCTAACGACTGGACCTTGAGTACTGTAGCGTGTGGCATCACCACCCAGCTCCTGCTCCGGGACTCGTCCCATGCACGTCTTCACTCACGTGTCAAAAACAGCGGCTCATGCTGTGAGATCTTCTGGCAAAAGCAAGGAAGACTTGGCGTTTCTTCAGAGGTTACGCGTTAACGATAATGTGAGACATGTGTAACGATTCTAAAATATCATACGATACCCCACACATCATTCCTACAAGACCCATACACTTAGTCTTACAATATCTACACAGCAGCTGACGAGAGTCAAGGACTCTCACATTGATCCAAGCTTGGGGCGAAGCCATTAAGACAAGTACAGTGTTATCTTATCTCTGTTATCTGCCTGTGGCCCCAAGAGCTTAACTTAGGAGCTTTGGTCATGTTGAGACTTGCTTCGGGGGCAGGGGGGGGGGCGGTGCGTCTCTCTGTGACGTAATCAAAATTGTGACGTAATTTATATGTGACGTAATCAGATGCGTAGATTGTGCCTTGTTAGTGACGATATGTAATAACAATGGGTTCATATGTTGCCTTAAGGCCTCAGTCAACCCTATGGCCGATGATATGGCTTATCTTAGACCATTATACTTCACCCTTCCTGTGATCTAATGTGAATTTTTTTTTTTTAAATTTTGCCCCGAGGGGCGAGTTTATTGGGCAGCGCCACTCATCTTGTGAGTGGACACACCGCCATAGCAGAATGTACAACACTCCCCAATAGGAAGAAAACCCGCTGGGTTGTTCATCCTGTCACTTGTACCCAGACACAGCTGGGACTTGCTTAACTGTCTCAAGTGAACAGCTCCTCAAACAAGAAGATTAACATTTATCAACCCTTAAAAGCTTACGTTATCTTGCGGGTGCAAAATGGGGAAATCTTTTAAGAACAGTATCAATATTTGACAAATAGTGTTTTCCTAACTCAAACAATGTGGGGTTTATTATTCTACAGTTATTCCTAATGTCTCTCAGGTGTTCACATTCACATAGATAGTGGTCAAGGCGGTGTCCATCACTCTCACCACAGATTCTGCAACTTCGCTGATCAACTGTTGTTTCCATTCCAAATCTCCATGGATATTTGTATCCAAGACGGATTCTCGCTATTACAGATTCTCTCACTCGTCGTCCTCCTCTTCGGCCATACTGATTGGGATTGCCAGCTGCAACCATGTTGTACCATCGTACAGATTCACTGGTTTGTGCTTCTATCCTCCTTTCCTCAGTTACCTTGTCACGGTGATGTTGCCTGATAATACCTCTAATTTGTAGTAGAGTCTTGGGTATGAAGTATTCAATATGGTCTCCTTCAGCGCCTTCAGCAGCCAGCACATCTGCTCGTTCATTCCCACATATTCCAACATGGGAGGGGATCCACAGAAACTTGATGACTCTTCCCTGATTGGTAAGTACTCTCACAGCTCTCTTGATTTCAGCGACTATTGCAAGATTTTCTGCCTGATTTTTACTTAGGCTTTGCAGTGCTGCTTTTGAATCGGTGCAAATCACTGCACCATTAGTGTTCCGTTCAAGAAACCTTAACGCCATAACAATGGCAGTTAGCTCTGCTTGCGTTGAAGAGGCATAGTTCTCAATACGTGCTTTTTCTTCATTTCTGCGTTGGAAGGTATTATCCTTGATTACCGTGTATGCTGCACCAGCCCTGCCATTGATAGGATTAGATGACCCGTCAGTGTAGATTTGATCTAGTTCATCTCCGGCTTCTTTATAAATGTCCTCGAGATACTTGTGCCTCATTTCTTGTGGTATCATGTTGGATTTTTTCATTGCCATTTCATTGATGATGATCTTGCATGAGTCATCCTCCCAGGGAGGTAACCTCTCTACAGGCAGGAGCTCACGGGCTTGCTCAAGCAGGTGAAGCTCTTCAAGGTAGCAGACTGCTCTGTGATGCCATTTTTTGCTTCTCCTGTTTCCCCCTGAAAGTAGCACAGAGCTCAGTTTTTTCTTGGCAATATCATTGTAATGGGGATCTCTGGCTATCCTAATTGCAAGCTTAGCATTCAGCTCCTGAATTCTGCTTTTAATACTGGGAAGGGACAACTCCTCTCGTAGATTAGACGTTTTGGCAGTTCTTGGGACTCCAAGAATGATTGTCATGGCTTCATTTTGAATGCTTTCAAGCCTTTTCATATCGGTTTGGGAGTAGGTGCACAGTACTGGTGCGGCATAGTCTATGACGGAGCGCACATAGGCTGTGTACATCATTTTGAGCACGGCAATTGAGGCTCCATGTCCATTCCAGGTCATAGCTTTCAGTGCCTTGAGTCGACTTTTGCATGTTCCTATGAGTTGATTGAGCTCCTCTTTCTTTCCCTTGTTAGAGCCGACAGTGACGCCAAGGTACCGGTAGTGGTCAACCCATTCAAGTGTTACACCATTAATTTGCAGTTCTTCATTTGCTCTCCGCTTGTGATGGGAGTATGCCTTCGTCTTGTTTGTGGAGAGAGTGAAACCGAGCTCAATACATTTCCTTCCGAGGAGTTCAATGGACTGTTCAATTTTTCCCAAGGTGGGAGCTTGTATTAGGACATCATCTGCATATCCCACTTGTTGTGTTCCTTCCGGAAAATCAATATTTGCAATGGCGTTCATAAGTACATTGAATAGTGTAGGGCTTAAGACTCCGCCTTGGGGGGTCCCGAGTTCCATACTCATTGTTCTGGAGACTGCTCCATTGAAGCAAACCTTGGCTTCCCTTCCTGTGAGGTAGTCTTCAACCCATTTCATGAGTCTCCCCTTGACACCCATGCATGCAAGCTCGTCCAGGATCGCAATCCCCTGTGCTTTGTCGAAGGCTCCTTTGATGTCAACAAATACAGAGTACCTAGCCGTGTCATTAACCAAGTAATTAACTATACAATTTGCTGTGCTCCGTCCTTTAACAAATCCATTGACCCCCTCCCCTAACCTGCCTATTTTGTGCAACAGTCGGTTTAGGATGATCCTTTCAAGCATCTTGCAAGTGCATGACACGAGGCTGATAGGTCTGTAATTACCAGGGTCATTAGGCTTCGGTATGGGAATAATTATTGCGTGTTTCCATTGTGTGGGCAACACTCCACTTAGGAATGACTTGTTAAACAGGTGGAGTAGTGGATTCCCAGACACTGCACACAGTGCATTGAGTATGTCGTAGGTGACGCCATCTTCACCAGGTGCTGTACTTTTACCCTTTTTCATAGCGCCCCTTACTTCTTGGGCTGTGATTGGTTCCCCATACTCGTCATCACTAGACAGTGCTCTTGTTATCCTAATTC